AAATAAAAAAACAGGTGATAATTGAGAAATTAACAAGAGATGATATGGATGGTGAGATGGATTAATATTAATATACAATTAGTTCCTTCAGTAGCAAAGGGTGACGAGGGGTGGGGCAAACTTCAAAAGAAGGCAATCTCTCTATAACATTATTATTGAGATATCTTGTTTTCTAATTCAAGTTAGGTCGTCCTCTTTATTGTTTGAGCTGCTAATTCATGAATCACAAAGAAGTAGAACTCACCTAATTTACTTTACTGTAAACTCATCATGCCTGTCATGAAGATTCAAGTTGAAGAAATATTCAGGGACGAACGTGTGTGTATATATATATATATATGTATTAATTCTTGGTTTTATGTTAGCAATAATCAAAATATAAAAACAAATGAACAAAAAGGGTCACGACGCATGCACCAACAATGACTTGGTACCTTTGTGTTTTGCTTTTATAAAGTCACATTGACATCTTGTGGAAATAATGTGCCTGATAAATGTGTCGCATCATCCATAACTGATATGGTATGGTCGCATCACATGTATCCACCGCCAATCATCTTATAGAACTCTTCAGGCTTTTTTTTTTTGTATCCGAAAAGTTAAGATCTATTTCTAGATGGCTAAGGGGTATTTGTTGAACTTTCTTTCCCGCGTTCACATCAAGTCTTCTAATTTTGTTTGACCTTTTCATCGCGAGTCCTCCTATCGCTTAAACGTTTTGATCTTTTTTCTATGTCGTAAAGTGTACGTAGTTTAAGTGATTAAGATTAATTATTTTTCTTTACACTCGAAATCTTGTGTTTGAATATCCCCTTCTCCGATCGCCTATATATATATATATATATATATATATTAAAAGTGCCATCAATGGCCGGATCCAAGTCTCCTTTATAGGATTAGATTGTAGAGGAGAAGTTCTACATGAGAAAATAGAAAGAAAATGTGTATATAAATATTGTGGCAGTTTTTCTCATTCTCATAGGACCTTAAATCAATTGTTTCCTTAGAGTACTTTCAAGGGAAGGGTGTGGCCCTAGCAGGAGAAGGCCCAAGCCCCTAGTAGAGGTTCCAAGGCGCAAATGCAGCCCGGGTAGCTGATGGGCTTCACAAGCCTAGGTAGGCCAAAAGGCAAGAATAGCCTAGGCTGTTACTTCGATTTGCTGACCCCGGCAATGAAAAAAATATCTTAAAAAAACTACAAAATTTCAGAATTTAAAAAAAATAAATAATTAGTCATATTCTTCACTTCCTACACCAAAACTCTATACAAATTCATCTCCTCATATCTTATGTGAATAGTAGTTGCCCTTTGTAGGGGTCCCTTTGTTCCAGCAGCCAGACGAATGGGCTTGGGCTACCGTAAGAAGAAAACGAACAGAACTCCCCTAGTGCCTGAGTTCGAAAAACCAAGCTCCCAAAAAGAGTTTTTGAAGAGTTTGATGAAACTTTAGAAAAACTCTCTTAGGTTCTTTTCACCAATAGCCAAAGAAACATAATAAATTGATAAATGACTTGGCTTGAGGAGCTTGTGGCATGAGAGCTAAGCTTTCACAAGTTTAGCAATTTCAGAGAGAGAGATGCAGGAGTTTCTTTACAGAGAACAGAGATTTAAACGGGGCAGAGGAAAATTAAGGAGGTCTCTATCTTAGGGGAAGAAGAAGACGACCAAATAAGAAGATTGGGTGGCTTGAGTAAATTCCCAGTTACTTGATAAAGCTTGGTTAAGCTCTGGATGACTGGGTAGAGAAAGCTCCCTTTTATAGGCACAAAGAACCTAATTTTATCTAACCTCATTCTTCCTTTTTCTTTGCTTCTTCCTACTCGATTCTATTTGGTGAAATCTTCCTATCCAAGGCGCATGAGTAAGGAGCCCTTTGTGATTCCAAGGGTTTTGTGTGGCTGGACCTTCCCATGAGGGTGAGGCGCCACCTGCTTTTCTTCTTGGTTTTCAAAATGGAGCTTACAGAGGAAAGGAAAATGGGTAGAGTCTTTTGTCCAATGGGTATTCATCCTTCATTCATGGATTTCCTTTGGTCCCTGTCGTGGCTCTTCGTTGACCATCTTGGAATTCTGACGAGGGTGAAGCACGATGCCAGATTTTCCTACAAGTTGCTAGGCTGGGCTTGTGCGTACGTTGTTGGTTTATTAACACATTATTTCTAGTGCCTAATGGGTTTTCATCAAATTGATGGAAACAACCTATTTAATTTTGGGCATTTATTGATGTTGGCTTCGTCTAAGTGCTATGACAGACTACTAGATATCCTCCCAAGGCATTGAATCATTTTCCTCTTCTCTCTTATGCTAACCCATGTGTTTGAGCCCGAGGAACGAGCTTGAGTTTTAATACTCCCAAGTGGCCTAAAACTTTTGCTCCTCGAACCCTCAATGAGCCTCGTGATTGCTTGTTTCCTTCCATACCACAACCTTCTCAGCAAGCCCCAAGTAATTATGTGACTTGGGCTAACTTAAGCTCGTAGCATGGCTTGGTGTTGGCATAGTGGTTCTTTAGATGGCATCGCGTGTTTATTCAACATGCTTGTACTTTGTACCGCAATAAGCTATGATCGGGCCCAGTGGCATCGAATAGGTTGGTGAATGTGAATTTATAAAGCCGGTGCATTTTTTATTCTTTTGCGCATGTTTGCTTGGTGTGACGCATGGCCCCCGGCTTATGTGGGTGCATCCCACAATTTCTCTCATGTCCCAATTGGGTTTCTTTCTCGATCAATTTATTCTTGTTGGGCTAAGAATAAACTTGGGCCTAGTCCTTGGATATTTGGGCCTCAACACCCTTAAGTTGTCATGGTAATGGGTGGAAACACCACAAGTTTTTTGCAAGGGCTACTACTATTCACATAAATAGTAACAACCCTTACCTTGCCTTTATCTTTTGCCATGACAAATGGGTAGAAATGCTCTTATAGTGCGTGACATGATTCTAGATTCATCCTAAACCAAATCCAATGCATGTTTGTTGACCCAAAACAACAATCAAGCATGTTTTGCTCAATTTAGAAAATCAATTACCAAAATTTGCAAAGGAATCAAATTCCAAAATTTGAAAATGAATTCTTCTATTTTCATTACTTATAATAAATATGTGAACGAGTTATATTATATGTTCATACTCCAATATAACACGATAATTACTCGAGAAGAATCGTTGAGATAAAGTAAAGCGTTTATTTATTTTAGTTAAGGCCTTCTCCAACCTATGAGGGGCTAAACCCAAATTTTCTCCCCTCCAAAAAGTAACTATTTGGGTTTTGCCCTGACTCAAATCGTTTTTTCTCTCAACCCTCCGGAATCAAATTTTAAGTCCGCAACTTTATTAAATTGTTTAAGAATGGTTTAAGTGTAACTTTTTATTTTTGGTGTGGAAAACTTTTCTTCATTAATCTTTTTAAATAACGTCATAATTTAATTTTTTGAACAATTTGACCTAAAAAAAATTGAAATTTCATAAATTTAATTTTATTCCAAAAGTATGAGAATGAAGAAGATGATGTGCTTGAAATGATATCAAAAGTATGAGAATGGAAGAGATTAATGAAATTGACAAAGGAAAAATAAATTGAGAAATAGAAAAAATATTTTTGGTAGATTAATTGAGAAATGAGTGAGTATTTATAGAGTTTGGAGTGAGATTTGGGATTGGATCTGATTTGGATTAATTTAAAATATTATTTTGACGGTTGGATTTAAATTTCAGCCGTTGGATCTTTTTTTTACCGTTAAAATAGCATAGATTTAATTCCCATCGTTGATTTAAGTTATATGTACATACCCAAAAAAAAAAAAAACAAACAACAACATTTGAAACCGTTGGATTCCAATGGCAACTCCATGAGATAGCGACAAGTGGCGCAAAGAGAAGACAAAAAGCAAGTTGCAAATTTGGAGGTGGGCCCCACATCAGAATTTTTGCACATAAGGCTGTTTGAGATGTGCAGTGGGCTCCATTGAATAGTGTAGGGTTCAGACAATACTTGAACCCATATTTGGATTTTCTCAAGTTTTAAATCCTTCATTTTTTTGGGTTGAGAAAAATTTTGAGCAATATTTTGAGTTTAGGTCATTGAGTTGGAGATAACCTAATAAGTAGCGAAGAAAACACTATAATGACTCTCAAAAAGCCCGTTAGCAGACCAAGTCATGACTCATCCGAGGCCCATTTGATTTAAATTTGTCATAGTGTAAACAAATAAAAACCAATGCCATTCAATTTCTAAACTTGACAAAAGGGATTAATCAATTATTGATTGCTTTTGATGATTTGGGTGCGTGCGAAGTCAGTGGAGAGGCCGACTGCTCAACCTCATTCGTCGTCGTTTCGATGATTCGGCGCCCTCAACAATGACTTTTTGTTGGTATTACTTTTCTCATCAAAGCAAACACGGAATCTTCAGAATATACGAGCCCTCCTGTCGTATGCGACCGGCCCCACTAACTCCTGTAGATAAAACCAATGCATGGTATTTTTTTTTTCCCAGTATCTTTCTTCTTTGCCTCTTGAATCAGCGTGTCAATAATTAATTATAAAGATTAATTGGCACCTAAAAAATGCTGCCTTTTTTTAAAAAACAATTTTTTTCCCCTTAAGCACGGACATGTGGTGTCTCCCAATAGTCACGGATCACAAGATTTAAATGGTGTCCTATATAATAATAGAAATGATCATATCAATAATCAAATGACTAATAATTTTCAATCTAACTCACGTCACAATAATTTAAAACAACGTTGCAAGTAAGTTAGTGTTATACAACTGGGCCGATTGTGAAAATTTGAGGGCTCTATACGAAACTTAAAATTTTATTAAACACGCAATTATGTAAATATCTTGACAGGCTTTAGTGTATTATTAAGAAAGAGAAAAGAAAAAGGGCAAATAGAGTAAGTTACGTCACTATGCAGTATGCGCAAGTGCATGCGGGATCAGTATGCACAACAAGAGGTGACTTGCCTACTAGACTAGTTTATAATTGTCACATACTGATTCTCTCAATATTTGGAATCTTTCTCATGCCATCATCCTTATCCTTACCTTAGCAAGCAGCTACTTCTCTATATTATATTAATACTTAAACAAGCCAACCAACAAATCTCAGCTCTAACTTTCACACTCACTCTCAAACAGAGCCTTCAGGTGGAGAAAGCTCCCATGGACACCAGAAGCTTTCTGCGTTTCTTCTTTCTCACCCTCTGCATAGCCGTAGCCCTCCTCTTCACCTGGGCCCACCTCCCTTACGGGCCCCCCTACGCCGCCGACCTCCTCGACTGCTCCACCAACTCGGCCTGGTGCTCCTCCAAAAACCGCCTCCAGTCCAAACCCCCCAGCCCCACACGCCGCCTCCGCGACCACGCCTCCGACGCCCCCCACCATCCTCTCGACCCCCTCACTCTCCCAGAGATCACCGCCGTCCGCTCCATCCTCTACTCCCATGCGCTTTTCGCCTCCTCCTCCTCCCACGCGCTCCATTCCGTCGACCTCCAAGAACCCGACAAGTCCCTCGTCCTCCGCTGGCAGCACGGCGACCCCCTCTTTCCTAGAAAGGCCACCGTCGTCGCGCGTGTGGATGACATGTCGCACGTTCTCACCGTTGACTTGACTACCCGCGAGGTGACCGTGGAAGACACCGCCTCCCACACCGGTTACCCGACGATGACGCTGGAGGAGATGACCGCGGCCACGTGGGTTCCGCTCATGAACGCGGATTTCAACCGCACGATCGTCCAGCGCGGGGTTGATCTGACGGATCTGGCTTGCCTGCCGCTTTCCACGGGGTGGTACGGCAAGGTGGAGGAGAAAAGGAGGTTGATTAAGGTGCAGTGCTACTCCACCAAGGATACTGTGAACTTCTACATGAGGCCAATCGAAGGGTTGACTGTGCTGGTTGACTTGGACACCAAACAAGTGTTGGAGATTTCGGATAAGGGCCGGAGCATCCCCATACCAAAGGCCGCCAATACAGACTATAGGTACTCGGCCCACAAGCCCAATGAAGTTCTCAAGCTGCTGAAGCCCATATCCATAGAGCAGCCCAATGGACGGAGCTTTACTGTGGAGGATGATCACTTGGTCAAATGGGCAAATTGGGAATTTCACTTGAAACCCGATGCCCGGGCGGGTGTGATCGTGTCTCGGGCCAAAGTCCGTGACCCGAACACCGGGGAATTTAGGGATGTGATGTACAAAGGGTTTACGTCGGAGTTGTTCGTGCCTTACATGGACCCCACTGATGCATGGTACTTCAAGACTTATATGGATGCAGGCGAATATGGGTTCGGATTGCAGGCCATGCCTCTTGAGCCGCTTAATGATTGCCCACGCAATGCCTATTATATGGATGGTGTGTTTGCAGCAGCCGATGGAACACCGTACGTCCGATCGAACATGGTTTGTGTGTTCGAGAGCTATGCGGGTGATATCGCGTGGCGGCACACAGAATGTCCGATAACGGGTATGCAGGTAAGAAACTCAAGTCCAAAAACTTAAAAAGAGTAATGCTACACGTATTATATTTATTTATTAATTTTTTTAGTAGAAATTAGACTCGTCATGACATCATGCAATTGAACTTTATTTTAGTTTTGTTGAAAATACGGTCTATAATACGTTCAGTAAATATATTACGCTAATGATTTTCTTTTGTATGAATTTTAAATCAAGTGGGCCCTACTTATCTCTGTGTTTGGCAGATTAGAGAAGTAAGGCCGAAGGTGACTTTAGTGGTCAGAATGGCAGCATCAGTGGCTAACTATGACTATATCATCGACTGGGAGTTTCAAACAGATGGACTAATCAGAGCCAAGGTTAGTAGCTTGGTGATTTTTTTTATAAAAATAAGCGATAGTCGAAATTACACTGATAGTCAGAAATATCATGAATATATGAATAATAGGCTAGGTCAATTTTCTTTTGGTTCTTAAATAGCTTGCATAATTTCTTCTTTTAATCTTGATGCCATAAATTATTGTTAATACTATCGATTAGTGGTTATACCATCACTAATGTGTCGTGAACATCAACGACTAAAAGTCACCCAGCAGCAAGTATAGCTCTTCTCTAACATTTTTCAATATATACATATATGCGTATGCAGGTTGGACTGAGTGGGATTTTGATGGTGAAAGGCACCTCCTATGAGAATGTGAACCAAGTGTCTAGCCCAGAGAATCTCCACGGAACACTCTTGTCAGAAAACGTTATTGGCGTTATTCATGACCATTACGTCACATTTTATCTTGATATGGACGTGGACGGCTCAGATAACTCCTTTCTGAAAGTGAATCTCCAAAGGGAGCAAAACTCTCCAAATGAGTCACCAAGGAAAAGCTACTTGAAAGCTACTAAAACCGTGGCCAAAACAGAAAAAGATGCACAGGTTAAGCTAAAACTCTATGACCCATCCGAATTCCATGTGATCAACCCAACAAAAAGGACCCGGGTCGGAAACCCGGTCGGGTATAAATTGGTCCCTGGTGGCACTGCTGCTAGCTTGCTTGATCTAGATGACCCTCCCCAAAAGAGAGGTGCTTTTACAAACAATCAAATTTGGGTTACCCCATACAATAGGAGTGAGCAATGGGCTGGTGGGCTGCTCGTTTGCCAAAGTCAAGGTGAAGATACCCTAGCCGTCTGGTCCGACAGGTGAGCGTCTAATATATTTGTATCATATTTACTGGTCACATTTCTTTTATAGAAGAAGTATCTAATTGATGATTTTGATTTTGCAGGGACCGGCCAATCGAGAACAAGGATATTGTTCTCTGGTACACATTAGGGTTTCATCACATACCATGTCAAGAAGACTTCCCTATAATGCCGACGGTGTCATCTAGCTTTGACCTAAAGCCTGTGAATTTCTTTGAGAGCAACCCCATACTTCGAACTCCACCTAATGTTGAGACAGATCTGCCTGTTTGCGTCGCTGCTGCTTCAGCTTAATTAAGCAATGAACATCAAGTGCCTCGAAAGATATTTCTGATCAGCTACTTGTAGAAAGTTACCTAAAAAATGTGCCAATTTAGGGCTTGCATGAAATCAGCTTGATGTAACGACTAACAAGAAGTTGTACTGAAACCGATGTGGCCAAGAATAAAAGATCGATGAGTGGAGTTAGTGGGAATCTACATTATGTACAGAGGCCATTATGTAAGAAATTAGATTTAGCGATGATGGAATCTCACTTGAAGGTTCCAAGGCTCTTATATTGATATTTAATATACCACTAATTTTAGTGGTACGTTATTTAACCTTATTCTTGTCTCTATTTCAGTAATTTATTTAACCTTATTCTTGTCTCTATTTCAGTAATTTTTGAATGAGACTGTAATACCGTCATATAATTTATGTTCTTGAATTTCTGCACCGGAAGTCCTATGTTTAACTAGATATCACCATGTTGAGATAAACTAAGTTTGCACTTGTGCTTTCCAAACCTAATTAAATTAGTTCTATAGTTTAAAGTATCAAAAGCGAAATCGAAATATGATCTTTAAAGTGGAGCCAGTTCTGTCATGATCCTATTTGTGCTTTAACCATGTTACAAAATTATCATTTACTATATAGGTAGTGTCCTCAATACAATAATACAATGTTCCATATTCAAGAATTTCAAATTGGAAGTAAATACTCGAGGAAGTGCTTTGAACCTTATTTTTTTTATTGTTAATATTTTTTTTATGAACTAACCACCCACCGTCTATCTCTTGAGATTGATATGTTGCGGTTTGAAGAACCTTATGATATTATTCAAGATGTTCTTTTTTGTTTATTAATTCTTTTTGAAGTTTAAACTATCTATTAACAAAAATGTAACTTAGAAAGTACAACAAAATAAATCACAAGGTATCACTAGTGACATGAGACAACCACACCAAGTCCTATTTCCTCAATTTATTATAAGATAATAAGGATTATGGGGAAACAATTGAACCAAGAGCATCAATGCATATATGCAATGGCCGACCTATAAAGGCGCAAATTGCTCATTTGCTTAGCTGGTGGTGGTGCTCTTCAGGTGTACAAATTACCTTATTTCCATGCTGCATTTTTCCAGAGGGAATGAAAATAAATCTAAGTATAGAGCTCCAATTTAGATAACCTGGGTGTTGGAATGACAACTAATGTAGTCATTTTCTTTGTCACAATCCCAAATTTGTCTTGAAGGTCAAGCTTTGCATCATTGGGCAACCTCCACTCAAATGAATGCAAAAATGAAGCCAACACATAGATCATCATCCTCTCTGCTAAGGGAATCCCAGGACACATTCTTCTCCCAGAACCAAATGGAAGATATTCCAACTTATTGCCATTGTAATGAATGTTGCTGCGAGGATCATTGAGGAACCTCTTGGGCCTAAATTCCAAGGGATTGTACCAAACATTAGGGTCTCTGTGAATGGCCCAAACATTTAAAAAAACACTTGAACCTTTTGGTATTTTGAAGCCTCCAATGGTGGTGGATTGACTTGGACAATGGGGAACCAGAAGAGGCAGAGCAGGGTGCAATCTAGATGTCTCCTTAATCACAGCCTCTAAATAATGTAATTTGGGTATATGAGACTCTTCAACCAAGTTTTTCAACCCAACAACTTCTTTCAGTTCTTGTTGAACTTTTTTCAAGTCATCTGGGTGTTGCATCAGCTCAGCCATTACCCATTCCACCATTGTTGCTGTGGTGTCAGTTCCACCAACCATAATGTCCTGTTCAAAATTATCAAACTGTTAAAAAGTTCAAAAAAAAGATTTGTTGCATTTTTATTTACTTCTTACTATCCCTTGTGTTAGAATTTTTACATCAAAATTTGCTCTTGAAAATAAATTGATAGGATGCACATAGAGGCATATCAGCTAAGTTTATTTATCATCACAAGAAGGTTATTATATGGTGAGTCTCTCACGCGTGCATATGCGAATACTGGCCGTATTAATGCATTAAGTGTTGCCAAAAGTAAGGCAAAAGTCACGTGTCAATGGCTAGAAATCGCTCACATGCGTCAATGGCACCTGGTTGACTGCCAACAAACTACAAACCAAAAGATAAGAATACAGTACCGTGAGCAGGGCCTTGATTTGTTGCAAAGTGAGCGATTCTGCATCATCTCCATGCTCATTAAGCTCCAACAGGAACTGCAGAAAGCCTTTCCTTTCATGCTTTAGCGATAGCCCCCCATCTTGCTCTGCTGCCTCACTCATCTGCTTTTCAATGGCAGAGTTGAGAATCTTTTCAGTCACAGATAGAAGCTGCTTCGCACGCCTCGCAATTCCTTGCACATCAAACCTGGCAAGCCAAGGAAAAAAGTCGGAAATATTTCCCTTCCCAATCAACTCCACCATTTCAGCCACCACATTTCTGTACTCTGCCCCAAGATCAGTCCCTTTCTCTGCTTCCAGAGTCCCACCCCACAACATTCTCATGGTTGTGTTGATTGCTGTAAAAAATGCAACCTGCCCGAAATCAATTGGGCTGCCACTTTTGCCATAAATATGATCAATTGACTTGAGAACTTCCTCTTTTCTCAGAGCATAACAAGCATCAAGGTTGCCTTTGCTCATCACGTGGCTCACAAACACCTTGCGCAACCTCCTCCAACCTGGACCGTAGGATCCGAAGGCGATGTCGGTTCCTCCGTAGGAGATAATCTGTGCAGCAATTATAGGGTCACGATTTGCAAAGAGGGTGTCTTGGTCACGAACCACTTGTTTCACAAGTGATGGCGAAGAGAGCACAAAACATAATTTGCTACCAAGTTGGAGCTTGTAGATAGGGCCATAAACACTTGCCAGGTTTGTGAATTCGTGGTGAAGGTTGGGGCCTAAAAAGGGAAGGCTCCCAACAAATGGCAGGCCACGAGGACCTGGTGGCAATGGAGGTGTTGGGTTTTTTGAGCTTTTCCAGTTCCACATGAACCAGAACATAGCAACCGCCATGGCTGAAATGGTGAGAAATATTGCTCTGGTCATCATGAGATGGCCATCTTTCTCAATATTGCTAGCATCCCACCATGGTGACCACATTTTTTGTTAGCCTTAGGCCCTGAACCCTAATGAAGATGAAAGATATATAGGCTTGTTATATATACAGAAAATACATATAGAAATGTTTTTTGCTCCTACCAGATAAAGAAGCTTGTGGGTTGTGGGGATAGCTTTTAAGAGCTAAATAATGTTTTTTCCCCTACCACACAAGACATCCAGGAGAAAACGCCAGAAGAAAAATCGAGAACTTGACAGGTTTGGACAATGGATGCATTATTTTGTGGCAGATTAATATCCTTGGTCACTGTTGTCTTGCGGTGTTTGCTTCAACTGGCGGCTTCGGCCTATGAGTGAAAAAATTACTTACATGAAATGCCGAGCCTCTAGAAGAAAACTGGAAAAGTTTGTGCTGTAGTTTATTTTTTATTTTTCTATTTCTATAATTTCTCCATTTATTTTTTTTCACACTTACACACACCTTTAGGGAGACATGAAGACTAATATGTATTTCTGCAAAAATTAAAAAGACATGAACACTTACTTTTCTTACAGCATTTATACACATCTTTGTTATATATGATCATCTGTTGATCAGTTTTACATTTTTCTTCTAACCAGTTGAACAAAGACTTCAATGTACCAATTTCTATCTTAAAAAAAAAGAAGCTACGGTATGAGTAGTAGAAAGCACAATAAATACATCATAAAGCAACAAATTGTATCGAAGAAGAAAATGATGTTACACGTGTCGTGACCATACACGAAAGAGTCTTTTAAGACGAATCATAAAATATGAGTTTTTATATTTAAACCATGCATTTCTCTTTGTTCACCTCATATTCTAAGTTCACCTCAACTTCTAATTCAAATTTTAATAATTTCTAAGAAAACCACTCTATCTTCCCAAACTATCTCTAAATACACACCTAGCAGGGAAAAAAAAAAAAAAAAAAACTCATCAACCTCACACTCCACACCCCACTATCTTGCCTCTCACTATTCTAAGTTCACCTCAACCTTAGAATTACAACAAGTCTTTAATCACAATATCCTCAATAATTCTGGGAGGAGTCCCAAACTAAGAAATAATATCACATTACATACCTGAGAATGCACAAGAAGCAGAGATGTTCAGAGGACTCTCCAGAGTAACGCTGTGAAGGTTCTTATACATGAGCCAGAACTGTGGGGCCAAGTCCCACATCAGCATGATTATGCAAGGCCTCTGCTAGATGCTTGTATTCCAGCAGAACTGCCGAGGAGCGATTGGGGAAAACGAACCTGTTCAGCCAGTACAGCAGGAACAACATGTGTTGCTGATCCTTGTCTTTCTCAGTACTGAACTTCTTCAAAAAATTAGAGAAGGAACAGTTCTGGTTGATCGTTGTAACAACCTGGTCCTTAATTAATATTTAATTATTAATTTATTCCAATAAAAGACCACTATACTCCTATAATATTTTATTGGTTTAAAAGTTGACTTTTTGATCGGGAAGGAATTTGAGGATTTCAATTATACCTTCCATAGAGCGCGACTAAACGAGTCCGTAGACACGTAGTGGACTCGAATCGGAGTTGTAACGAAGGAGTTACGATCAAAAGAAGTTCAGTGGCATAACCGTAAATATTTCAAAGTTCAGTTATTAAAACCCAGATTTTTCTCATCCCCTCAGAAGCTTCACGACCAGCCGACTTTAGGAGAGGATTTCTCTCAGCTCCGACCACCAATTCGAGCAAGACCGGTGCCAAACGAACCACCTCACTCTCCTATTTCAGTCTCAACCCATCCCAGTCTTTATCCGCTGGCGTGGTCGCCGGAATCAGCCACGAAACAGGCGATGTTGTACAGTTTTTTAGTAAACTTTCGGGAGCTCGTTTCGAAGCCTCCGGCCACCAAATCGGCTGAGTGAGGTATGGTTTTCTAGCTATTTTCCATGCTCTAGCTGCTGGTTGGGTAGGATTTCAGAAATTCCAAGCATAAATACTTCGATTGTTAAGTTAGGTTTCAGCCGGTTTTGAGGGTGCGATTCTGACCACTTCCGGTCAGTTTTTGGGGTAAGTCCAAGAACAAAAGTGGCTCCAAATAGGGTGTTACACCTAGGGTAGGAACCTTGAGCAGTGATTCGGAGTTTTTTCGACGAAGCGTTATCGCTTTAGGCACCACGCGCTGTCGGCGCGTGTGGTGGCGCGTGGGCAGCAGGGTGGGGACCACAGTCAGTCCTACAATAATCTCCCAGTTCTCTTGAGCGCATAGGATTTTGCGGATCTTAATTCGGATAACGTTTGAACCCCAAACGGATCTCGTTTAGTGTGTGATTTCCGGGTTCGATACGTTTGAACCGTTGGATCGCAGTCAAGTATGTTGATCTAGGTAATTTCAGGATCGTATAGTATTTGATGGATCATAAAACGGAGTCCCGGTTACTCTAGGAATGTCAGCCCTAGAGCGAGGTTTACAGTAAACAGACCAGTTGTAGATCAGGAACAGAGGAAATAACTACATGTGGCTTGATCCCTCAGTAAGGGTACGTAGGCAGCCTACAGTTATCAGGCGCAGCCACGAGTTAGAGCCTTTGAGGTTGTGTTATTATTTTTCAGGGCATTTTGGTCATTTATCACCCACACCCACCAGGTGTTAGTTTTAAACAGGATTCGGCCCGGATTTCAAAGTGGAATTTGGGTCGGGTCGTTTCAATCATAGCAGCAGGAA